AACTCTAAGGCTACCCCTAACTCCCTAGGCCACCCTAACTCCCTAGGCCACGCCTTTAACTCCCTAGGCCACGTCTATAACTCCCTAGGCCACCCTAACTCCACCTATAGACGAATATGTAAATTCCACTCGCATATTAGAACCTTTTTTTTTATATTTTTTCTCAACTCGGGTAAAAAATCTCTGGGGAATTTAGTGAGAATTTAAATAGACTATTTAATTTTTACCAGTAATTTGGGATTTCCGTGGGAGATTTTTTTCGGGGGCGAGTCTAAATATTGTTTCCTGATACTTTTTTTTTTCATTAAGGGTTTTTATTTATTTATTTAGTTTTATTATTTTATTTGAAGTTGTCGGGGGAAATTATTTAATGTGTTTCTACTATTTTATTCCATGTTTTTGTTATTATATTCACTGTTATTTTTACTATTTTTTTTTATTTAGGGTTTTTCAGCGTTTTTTTTTTAACTATTGTATTTCATGCATTTGGACGATTTATTTGTCGTACACAATTATCACACTATTTTATAACATTCACATATATTATTTACAACTTATAATATTACACAAACTCAAACTACCAAAAAATATATATATATAGTTTCTAAGTTAATAATCAGAATGTACCATAACTAGACGTGTTTATTCCTTAAGTTACGAAAAAAAAATAATGGTTTCTAAATTACACTCAAGACTGTACCGTAACTAGAGGTGTCCACTTATCCCTATCTACAATACAGACAGCTCAGGGAACACAGTCGACGAACGAACCTCTTGAGTACGATGCCTGCCTGCCTGTGTTTAGGTCAGTATTTAACGCTGGTGTATGTCTGGTATAGTAATTACCAGACCCGGTAGGCCGTTGCATAAACAAAAAGTAGCATTATTATTATTTTTTACTGTGTTTTGTCTCTTATAATCCAGGAGCTATTTAAGGGGTTATTTTTAGGGTTTTAAAATTAGTAAATAGAGTTGATGTTATTACTGTATGTATAGTTTAAAGCATTCACTATGTCATGTCAGCTGTGAATCTTTATAATGACCAAGTGTAAAATTCCATTAAAGTTTTTGTGCATTTTTGAGTCATTTTACAAAGGTTCACAGTTGGTATTATTTTTTTTTAGGAAACATACAATTAACATCGACTGTAAATTTTCTAAAAAAAAATATATTAACGAGATCCTTTATGAACCGCTGATATGACCCCTTAATACTTCTGATGAACTCGAGAAAAAAAAAACGAAATGCGTCATTAGGCATCTAGGAAAAAAAAACGCCTAGTTCAGCTCTGGGATCTTGTACTGAAATATCTCGCCAAAAGAAGTGGGTAGAAGATGTAATTGTTGAGCATGCGTTACTATAGTTTTAGCACCTCTTATAAATTACCTTCACGATTCCTGGCATTCGAGTCTCCCTCAACAACAATAAAATGCATCGTACCTTCTGAACTCTTAAGTTTTTTTATTTTTTTAATCTCAATAGGCATATTAACCCTGGGCTTGATTGGGTGTTGGTAGCGGCCATTACTGGAGCGGTGACTGGGAATTTTGGGGGTTAGCGGGTGTCCGAAACAAAGCGGGAAGGATCGAGGGGCAGCGAGGCGCCATCTTGCGGCCAACACCTGACCATCTGCAGGGCATGGCGGGAACAGGTACTCCCCTCCCAGGAGCCCGCATCCAACCTCCCGGATCTCTAACTCTCAAACACCCATTTCAATATACACTACTACACCTTCTACACCCTCCTTCGCCTTTAAACCACGTGAAATTATCCCTATGTCCAAGACTCGAGTTCAAATGTGGAGTTTTAAAGTTGGTGCGGGGTTATAACGGCTGGAAAATGAACCGTCAACTAGCGGATACCCTAACAGAGATTCATTCGTCCATAGCTGTTAGCTGGGCCAGGTACCCCGCACCACCATACCTTCCTGCCACCATGCTTCCCCTGCCGCCATGCCTCCCCTGCCACACCTGTTACCATACCTTCCCTGCCACCAAACCACACCTGTTACCATACCTCCAATATAACCATGCCTTCCCTACAGCCATACCTGCCCAGCCACCATACCTGCCCTACCACCATACCTTCACTGACACCATGCTTCTCACCATACATCCACTACCACATCAACATTAGCACCATAGGTCCATTACCACGACTGTCGCCATACATAAACTAAGACCACTACCATCATACCTCTACTACCATCACTCCTGCTACAATAATAACCTACCTCTAGTCGTGAATAAACAAGCTGAAAGAACCTGTTGTCAAAACGTAACCCAGGAAGACCGGACACCTCAGCAACTGCACTGGCTATCACCCTGAGGATTGAACACGGGGCCACTTGCTTACGAGACCACCATACCTCCAACATATTTCTACCACTACCATACCTCTAGCACTATACCTTCACCACCATCACCATACTAGCTTTACCTTACTACCATGGGGCGAAAATTTACATGGCAATGTGAAATAATGGATGTGGCAACTGGGCACAACGGAATGTTATCGTACGAGGAAAATATAAAAGTAACAGTAATTTATGGATAGGATAGGATGGAGCGACAACGTATGGACAGGATAAATCACACTAAAATGGAAGCCTTCGGTACACAAGGAAGCAGTTTGGCCGGGCACTGGACTCGGCCAACTTTCACTTCTCCTTCGTTGATGTTAGGTACCTATTCTACAGCTGGGTCGACTTGGGGGCGCCCAATATAGTGACCCGTTAAGGGACTCGAATCACTGACCATTGAATCAGTAGGCAAGTGCTGTATCCATTCAGCAGTCGCACCCCTTAAGCAGACAAATAAATAATAATAATAATATATAGTAAAGACTCAGAATAAATTCGTTGTCAGTTAGTCCGTTAATTTAATTCTACCATCACGGTGTTGTTGCTTATACACGAGGCTCGTTCTTACATCAACTAATAGACGGAAAATTTTAACGTGTTTATCTCTTAGAATCCGGACCCAACGCTACCATATTACGCCGAGATTTATGACAAGATACACTACTTCCCGGTGATGCAACCTGACCACAAGTGTTAACTTCGGGTTACGTAACGGAGAACACTGCCGCCCACAACAACACACGTCCGGTATGACAATGATACCGCTATTATCACCACCACCACCACGCCTTTATCTCAGGAGGTACTTGGTGGTAATCAGAGGGTACTTCTCGAGCATGTGTTTCCGTCAGTACAAGCGATAAGTTTAAGTGGATAAAATTACTGGGTAACCGTCCAGCCAACACACTTCACGACTCCTATCCTACAGGGTGTTTACGATGTCCCTTGATGTTTGTTTCCACAGGGTCTTGTTAAAAGAAGTAACAGATCCAACACTGCTTTAAGTATTCCAGTATTATCTGCACATAACAGTATTCTTCACCGTGTTCCCTGTGACCTTTTCTTCACACTTACAGACGGAATTGTAAACAGTGTATCACGATCGTCTGCTCTGTATTCTTCACAATACCGCCAAGTAAATCCAAGTCATAGAAGAACAAGGAAAATACTGTATATGCAGATAAGGATACACCACATAATTCTGTATTTGATATATAACTTCCACAAAAGCCTATATAAACATAGAAGGAATTTGTAAACACCGTGAATATTATAACGAAGAAATGATTCCACAGTGACCACATTTCTCCATCCCGGCCCCATAATACCACTACTCGCTTCGATAAGTTGAAGCTTCACACATTAATCATCACGTACCCTGTATTTGATATGGCTTTCAAACCCTTTTGTATTTAATCGAAAAAGAGATGACTTGTAATATAATTTAAGGGTAAAAAAGATTTAATAAATTTGGTGGAGGTGTTTTAAGGTGATGGTGTGGTGGCGTGTGGACAAGTCATCCATCGCCTTGGGGTAAAAATGAGTGTGGAGGGAGAGGGGTACCAGCCGCCCCGTGACGCTACTGACCCCCGTCCCACATGTTGCTAGCCCCACTCAGCCCCGTGACTATCCCCACACACCCCTTGTCCACATCACCCATACCTAAATCCCCATCAATCTCCCACCCACACCCACATCATCCTCCTCCTCCACGTTACACCATCTCCACTCTTCCCACCCTCTACCTACACCTCCTCCACCCTCGCCCCCTCACCTCTCCCACCTACAATACCTGGTAGCAGCCAACGCGACGGAATGTGCGTTTTTGTTTTTAATTACAAGGAAGAAGACAATGCGTAAAATATAGGTAAGCCACTCCAACCAGGCTACAAGTGGCCGGGGACGCTTAGGGCGAGTTTCCGGGGACCAAGGCGTGGGATTGCCAACCTTCAGAGCTCCCCCGTATCGTCTCTTCACCCCGGCCGAGGAGCCAACACGCAAGAGAAATGAATTGAACATCGATTATAAATTGTCTTCATTACATTTATGGACTACTAAAGCTGTCGTGATCCCATTGTTCAATTTTAATGGTGGCTCTCTCTCTCTCTCTCTCTCCTCCCCCCTTCTCTCTCTCTCTCTCTAATCTTCTCTGTTTGATCTCCCTCTCTCTGATCTCCCTCTCTCAATTTCCATTCCAGTATTATATATCATTATTTTCCCTCAATTTCCTAATTTTCTCTCACCAAACTCATTCCAGGTATAAACTACGCTGATCACCTGAAGATTAAGCACCTGGGCATATTTAGCCGCCAAACTTAACCTAATGACAACCTAACCTAACTCAAATTAATCCCTTCAGGAGAAATAAGCTAGGGTGCCGTATCTTCAGGTGATCCCACTACGCACCTACACCGGACACCCTTCGTCGCCTCCCTCAGCCCATACACGTTGACGGTCGGGGCCAAATATTGACACTGAAAGACCTTGGACGCTGTACAAGCTATGGGCAGGAGGGGAAGGCCGAGCCATAGCCATCTGTCCTCGTCGCGGCCCTGGATACCACTATGGGGGCATGACAGACTCTGGGATACAGGAGAGACGCTCGGTTACTCAAAACAGGAGACACTCGGGTACTCACCTCGAAGGAGAGATTGCCGATGTTAGACCACTGGAAGGTAGAGATAAGCTTCCTGGAGGAGGGTAGTGGCCCCGGCTCTTCCTGTAACACACACACAAACAGCTGAATTATTTACTTTATTAATACTTATTGACGTTATTACCAAGAGACTTAACACAAACTTACCAAGACACTTAACACAAACTTACCAAGACACTTTATGACTAACTTATTCTTTACACACAATTGTTCAAGTATATATATATTTCACACAGACACTTATACACGTACTTAAATTAGATACATACAGTACTTATGAAAGGTTTATGCATTATATAAATACTTACCGATACACTCCTCTGTCCCCCCCCCCCCTTTACTACAGTAATTATGAAAGTACTTACATACTTAAGTACACCATTGCACTTATAAATAAAGGCACTTACTGGAGATGCTAACTCTACACACTACTTGACGTACTTATAATTCTTATAGATACTTACTGAAGTACTTTAATTTTACATACTGTATACACTTACAAAGTACATGCAATCTACATACACACTGACTGACTTATTAATGGATGACTTAAACTTTACAAACACACTTAATACTCACATACACTTTACGTACACTTAATGAAGCACTTATAATGAATATACTCTCATGTTGCTACTCTGGCTATTTACAGATAAAACTTTGTAATGTCTTATTTAATAGCCTTGAATACACACATACATACATACATACATACATACATACATACCTCGTATATATCGAGACCTCTGGCACAGATGACCACGATCACCTGAGGTATTGGGTCCTGCTTCTTGTATCTCAGGCGGTACAGGTGCAGGTTATGGGGCGCCTCATGCTGCGACGCCTCCCGGATATATTGAGCATGTGCCTCAGCCCTCGTCAGGCCCATGTTGTCGCGGTGCATGTGTGGCGCGTGCTCCAGGACGTAGGCCACGCCCACCCGCTCCACCAGCTGATTCAATGTAAACAAATAAACCTCAGCGTCAAGGTCACTCTCTCCAACAAGACTCAGATTAAACTTAAAACTTGTAAATAAACCAATCACATATTCCAGATTTAAATAACATTGATATACTGTAATTGGAATCCACAAAGGTGATCAAGAACTGGCCATTGGCAGAAAAATAACCTAACCTAACCTGACCTGACCTGACCTAAACGAGCGCAATACATCCATCAGTGACCAACCCGATCAGAAAGACAAAAAATGGGTCGACTAAATGACGTAACAGAGAGAGAGAGAGAGAGAGAGAGAGAGAGAGAGAGAGAGAGAGAGAGATACTTCCCCCAGCCACTGTACTGTATGTGTGTGTGTGACCTCGAGACTTGACCCCCTGACCCGAAAAACACTCTTGAGTAATAACGATAATGTCCAAGTGTAAAGTCAATCTGTCTACACTTACTTACACTCACGGTTATACACCCTGTATGTTAATTTAACTCCGACTTTACTGTTTGTTATTAAAGTCAGCGCCATAACCTTACCTCAAGATCATTTTTACGATACAAATTTCAACAAACGGTCCTGGGAACAAACACTTGATAGTGCAATGGACATTATAAAAATATCACCGCCATTTTATACTTCTCTCTATCCATTTTCTTCTTCAATTTCTTAACTAAAAAAAAGCAAATTATTTATATACTGGTTTACCCAAACTTGAAAATAACGATCCATGATCACCTTATTTTTCAACAAGGTCAACTTACAAAATATAATGAATCCTTTAATATACTAATAAACCTAACTATTTATTATCAGTGATTCGGTAAGCTTTTAATTCCTACAAAACAAATTTAAACGGATATTATGTACTGAGAGGAGAGTAGAGGAGAGTAGAGTAGAGTAAAGTAGAGAATAAGAAATCAACGTAGAGTAGAGGCGGCGGGCAGGAGCTACTGACCCAGTGCGGGAAGTAGAGGTTGGGGTCGAAGTAGTGACCCTGGTGCTGGTCCTCGCAGAAGTCTCCCAGGTCGGCTTGGAGGGCGTAGGAGGCCAGGAGGAAGGTGGCCTCCTCGCTGATGGGCTGGTTGTAGCTGAGCACGTTCTCCCGCAGTTGCAGGTAGTAGTGCAGGCGTGACAGCCCATCCCTGCAACACACACACATCACACCCTGTTAGTATCATTATAATAGCACATCCCTGTAAACACACACACACACACACACACACACACACATCACACCCTGTTAGTATCATTATAATAGCACATCCCTGTAACCACACACACACACACACACATCACACACACACACACACACACACTGTTAGTATCATTATAATAACACATCCCTGTAGCCACACACACACACACACACACAATTAGTAAATCACATGGAGCAACTCGCTACTGTCGTGGTCTGAGATGCAATGATCATTATCCACGACCATACATGTACCCCACTAAATAATTAATTGGGGCATGATATAATTCGATGAGTACACATTTAATATATACTCAATGCTCTCCCGTATCAGCATTAGGTTAGCTTTATGCGTGGTATTAGTGGAGGTGAGGGAGGCTTCTCTTCCTATAACGCTCATTCATACTTGGAAGGACAAGACTCATTAGAATTCACCACAACTCTCACACTCCGACTTTTTTCTTTCCCTCGCTGAATTTGCCTTGTCTCTCCCTAACCACTACGGTACTCTCATCAAGAACCTACCTGAGGAGGAGGTGGGTCTCCAGGTAGAACTGCACCCGGAACTTAAACTGTAGGAGGGGTTCCCCGCTGGCGTCAACACCCTGTAGGGGGGAGGGGGTTGAGAAGTCTATGTTATTCATCCGTAAACTCAACAGTAATATTATTCACCTGATTCATCACAAGTGCCACCTGTTTCCTCACAAGTGCCACCTGTTTCCCCACAAGTGCCACCCGTTTCCCCACAAGTGCCACCTGTTTCCTCACAAGTGCCACCTGTTTCCCCACAAGTACCACCTGTTTCCCCACAAGTGCCACCCGTTTCCCCACAAGTGCCACCTGTTTCCCCACAAGTGCCACCTGTTTCCTCATAAGTGCCACCCGTTTCCTCACAAGTGCCACCGTTTCCCCACAAGTGCACCTGTTTCCCCACAAGTGCCACCTGTTTCCTCACAAGTGCCACCCGTTTCCCCACAAATTGCCACCTGTTTCCCCACAAGTGCCACCCGTTTTCCCCACAAGTGCCGCCCGGTTCCCCACAAGTGCCGCCCGTTTCCCCACAAGTGCCTGTTTCCTCACAAGTGCCACCCGTTTCCCCACAAGTGCCACCTGTTTCCTCCTAAAGTGCCACCGTTTCCCCACAAGTGCCGCCTGGTTCCCCACAAGTGCCACCTGTTTCCCCACAAGTGCCACCTGTTTCCCCCACAAGTGCCACCCGTTTCCTAACAAGTGCCACCTGTTTCATCATAGGTGCCACCGTTTCCTCTAAGTGCCATCCGTTTCCTCACAAGTGCCACCTGTTTCCCCACAAGTGCCACCCGTTTCCTAACAAGTGCCACCTGTTTCATCATAGGTGCCACCTGTTTCCTCACAAGTGCCACCTGTTTCACAAGTGCCACCCGTTTCCTCACAAGTGCCACCCGTTTCCCCACAAGTGCCATTCGTTTCCTCACAAGTGCCACCCGTTTCTAACAAGTGCCACCGTTTCATCATAGGTGCCACCCGTTTTCCTCACAAGTGCCGTTTCCTAACAAGTGCCACCCGTTTTCATCATAGGTGCCACCCGTTTCCTTACAAGTGCCACCGTTTCCCAGGTGCCACCTGTTTCATCATATGTTTAAGTGCCATTTTTTTGTGCCGCCGTTTCTTCGTGCCACCTTTCTTTACAGTGCCACCTGTTTCATCATAGGTGCCACCGTTTCCTTAAGTGCACTCATATGACCGTTCTACGTGCGTTTCGTCCTTCTAGGTGCACCCTTTGTGCCACCTTTCCAAGTCCCTGTTTCATCATAGGTGCCCGTTTCCTCTGCCCTTCGATACCCGTTTACAGTGCCATCGTTTCCTCAAAGTGCCACCGTTTCCTGTATCCGTTTAGTCGGCCGTTTCTCTACAAGTGCCTAACGTCCGTTTCATCATAGGTGCCACCGGTTTCCTTTAAGTGCCACCGTTTCACAAGTGCCTGTTTCATCATATTTCCCGTTTCATACAAGTGCCACCCGTTTCCTTAAGTGCCACTGTTTCTCATAAGTGCCACCCGTTTCTTCAGTGCCACCGTTTCTAACAAGTGCCACCCGTTTCATCACATAGGTGCCACCGTTTCACCACAAGTGCCCGTTTCAAGTGCCACGTTTTCATGGTGCCAGTTTTTGTTTTGATGCCACCGTTTATATAAGTGCACCTTTTCATAAAGTGCACCGTTTCCCCACCGTTTCATCAGTGCCACTGACTTCACAGGTATTACCTTCCTCAAAAAAAATAAATCAAGGAGTGTTATACTGATTTGAGGAGGAGGGGTGGTGGTGAAGGTGGTGGTGGGAGGTGGTGAGGAGGGATTGAGTCAGGGGTGGTGGTGAAGGTGTTAAGGTGATGGTGAGTGGTGAGGTGATGTGAAGAGTTCTCATGCTCACGACTGATGGAGAATGAATGAGTGTCAGGGTGGAGGGAGTGGGGGGGAGTAAAGGGTGAGGAGTAGTCGGGATGAGTGAGAGGGTGGGGAGGGGGTGACCCGGCCAAGTATGGAACCAGGGACTTTCACCATCACACATTCTTCTCTCTACAAATCAGATTTTTTCTCTATGTACTGTTCAACGTTTTTTTACTAATGTCAGTGTGGTTGCTGAATGTATCAGGATGTAAATTTTTGGATGTTGCTTCTATTGCTCTCTCTCTCTCTCTCTCTCTCCAGTGGTTCCTCATCACAATCCCTGTTCTGTTTGAAGAATCTTGATTAAATTTCATTATTTTTGGTGATTGTTTGTGCTGAAGGTCATATGAAACCCAACTGGCTGACCAAAAGTTAACCTTTACCCTAACCTGACATCTAACACAGTGACGTCATAGCAGTTGGTGATGACGTCACAGCAGTTGGTGATGACGTCACAGCAGTTGATTTTTTTTGTTTCGGAAAAATTTGAAATTTATTTATTTTTTGAGAAATCTTTTGAAAACCGAAATATTTGGGTAATTTTCCTCTCCTCCTTATACCCCTTCAGCTTTATTCGTCTCCATCTATTTCATTATCTCATCCCTACTTCCCTCTGTATCTTATCTATCCCTCCTCCATCTCCTCTCATATACCTTCCTCCCGGGGTGGTGTAGCTGTGGTAGAGCTGAGGTCTTGTAATATTGTCGGGTTCCATGTTATAGCTGTGGCATTGAAGAGCCTGTGGCTGTGGTGTGGTCATGTGTGGCTGTGGTGTGGCGGTGTGCTGTGGTGGTGTGGCTCTGTGTGTGGCTGTGGTGTAGCCGTGTGATGTACTGTAGCTGTGGTGTGCAGCCGTGTGCTGTAGTGTAGCTGTGGTGTGTGCTGGTGTAGCTGTGGTGGTGTGCTGTAGTGTGGCTGTGGGTGTAGCCGTGAGTGTAGCTGTGGTGGTGTGCTGTAGTGTGGCTGTGGTGTAGCCGTGTAGTGTAGCTGTGGTGGTGTGCTGTGGTGTAGCTGTGGTGTGGCTGTAGTGTTGGTGTGCTGTGAGTGTGTGGCTGTGTTGTGTAGCCGTGTGCTGTAGTGTAGCCGTGTGCTGTAGTGTGGCTGTGGTGTGGCCGTTGCTGTGGTGTGGCTGTGTTGTGTGGCCGTGTGCTGTAGCTGTGTGGTGTGCTGTGGTGTGGCTGTGTGTGTGTGCTGTGAGTGTGGCTGTGGTGTAGCCGTGGCGGTGTAGCTGTGGTGTGGTGGTGTGCTGTAGTGTAGCTGTGGTGGTGTGCTGTAGTGTGGCTGTGTTGTAGCCGTGTGCTGTAGTGTGGCAGCCTGTGTAGTGTAGCTGTGTTGTAGCCGTGCGCTGTAGTGTGGCTGTGGTGTGCTGTAGTGTAGCTGTGGTGTGCTGTAGTGTAGCTGTGGTGTGGCCGTGTGCTGTAGTGTAGCTGTGGTGTGTGTGTAACTGATGTATAACTGTGGTGAGTGGGGAGAGTGCAGAGTGGGGAGGTGGGTAGTGGGGGAAGTGGCAGGTGGAGGTGGGGTGATGAGTGTGTGGTGGGGAGGGGTGGAGTGGGGGAGGGTGTGTGGGGAGGTGTGAGTGGGGAGGGTGTGTGAGTGGGGAGGTGAGGGGGAGGTGGGGAGGTGGGGAGTGGTGAGGTGAGGAGGTGTGTGAGTGGGGAGGTGTGAGTGGGAGGGTGTGAGTGGGGAGAGGTGTGAGTGGGAGGGTGTGGAGTGGGGAGGTGTGTGAGTGGGGAGGGTGCAGTGGGGGAGGTGCAGTGGGGAGGGGGGTGGGGAGGTGGGTGAGTGGGGAGGTGGCGAGTGGGGAGGTGTGAGTGGTGGGGTGATGGTGTGTGAGTGGGGAGGGTGTGAGGTGGGGAGGGTGTGAGTGGGGGAGTGTGGTGGTGTATCGGGTCAGTCTAGCATATGGCTGTAGACTGTTTGGTATGGCTAGGGGCGGTCCAGCCAGCCTGTCGGAGAGTGTGGGGTGTAGCGAGGCCCCCGTCTGGTGTAGCAGAGGCTGTGTACCTTGGCTGGAGGCTGGCTGGCGAGGTAGTGAGGGAGGCGAGGGTGTAGTGTGGCGTGGAGGGTGTAGTGTGTAACTACTGGTATATGCCCGGGTTATGATGGGTGAGCACCACCAGCTAGCTCCTCGCCCGGCCAGCCCAGCTCGCTCATCCCGCAGCTCATCTTCATCACGCTCGAGATAAAGCGCTCAGCTGGCGCTCTCTCCTGGCCGGGACGTATTTCTTACACAAATGTTGGGTGTATAATCCCCTCAGCATCCATTACGACAATCAGGGCCGCGGGGGAGAGCGTGTGGCCGCAGGAATCTAGCGACATCTGGCACGCGTGTGTGGCTGCCCGCGGCCACGTTCCTAATACGGTCAGGATTCTTTCCAGCGTGCCCGACACGTTCCAACCCATCCTCCAGACTTCACCACGCTCAACTCTACTCAAACTACATCACTCCGTAAACTCCTCGCGCTCACACACGAGTCTTGATCAACGAATTAAAATTGTTATTCAGACAGCAATAAAACTTCATTATAAAGAGCCTTACAATTGTACAACCCGACACCCAAGTTTCGGTCAGTTGTAACCATTAGGACGTTGCCATCATCCACGAGCAAACTATTGCAGATGGTTTTTACATCTGAAAATCAGAATACCACTTTTTTTTATCTCCGAGAATATTAATCTATTCCCCGATTAGACATTCCTGGGCAGTGTTTGGTGGTGGCCACAACACGGAGGTTGTGCGACCCGTAAATAAGGCGGAGGCTACACCGTAGACCTACAAACCCAACCCCGGACTCTCAAACATCTTCCCTGGAAATCTCGTGCCCGCCATGAACGCTCTACGGAATTTTGGTGCATAAATTAAAAGCGGCCCATGCCGCCAGCCCCACGCAGCTGCCTGCCTGCCCTCATCTCGTAGCTCCAGCCCAGGAAATATGCCACGAATTCTTGAGCGTTTTGTCCGAGCCAGTGGATTCCTCAGAGGCCAAGTCCCACACGACGCGCTCCCCGCCCGTTGTCATGGCTACACCTCCACCACCGACCTTACACACCTACTATAACTAAAGCTTTAACACCACACCACACACTCCAACATTTAAATAAAAAAACAAAACAAAATATATACGAATCTCACCACAAACTAAACAAGATAACACCAATATAACACAGCAACTTAGGTATAACAATAAACCCTGCTATTAAACTAACCTATTAAACTATGAAAAACTTCACCCTCTAACGACGACCATCCTCACAACATTGAAAACAAAAACAAAAGGAAGTCCTTCACGCCTCACCAAGTTAAGAGAAACACAACAACACAAGCAGACCCAAGTTATGTAAAAAGTGATCCTGATGTTAAACCTGCGGCATTCACACCCCAATTATTAACAGGTCAACATCCTGGGATAAAAATAGAGCAAATACACCCAACTGGTCTATACTG